TATAGTGTATGTTTTCCTCAGTTATGTATTAGGACAGAGTGTGTTGCGAGTTGCTGAGCTCACCCAGACATGATGCAGAAGAGTTCTGTGGCAAGCAGCTCATCAGATCCTTTAGAGGGGACTTCCAGAACTATCACGGCCTCTGGTGGCGATGTTGGGGACTCTCAGCTCATGTCAACTATAGCCCGTTGTGAAAGAAGAATCCAGATCCCTTACTTAAGTAAAAGTATACCTAAATATTAAAAATTATACATTAAAAGAAAAAGTCCTTTGTTACCCTGTTAAAAACATCAAGTATTTAGACCTATAATAATAACAATAATCTTAATCCGCAGTGGAGTAATTCCAGCTGTCAGGTTACTGTTGTGGAGTAAAAACAACAATAGTAGCTTCTGAAATATAGTAGAGTAGAAGTATAATGTCGCATAAAGTCACAATGCTCAAGTGAAAGCGTTACTTTCCAGCACTGACAGTGTCTGAGAACAACTGATTGCATTTCTATTAATGCAACCTGATCGTCTCATCAGTGTGGAATAGACATGCTTCAGTGTGCTCAAACTGACCATAAGGATAATTGTTGAATAGCTAGCTTAATTAGGAAAATGACTCACATGTTTATTAGAATTATGTTTAAAGTGTTTATTGAAGGATACACTGGCCTTTGAGGTGCAGTTCACTCACTCAACCCTATTACTCTCTCATTCTGCGGCCTAGGAAGACACAGACCATAGACTTCACAAGAACACACACGCCCTTAACATTTCCCAAAAGCTCCTACACCCAGCCAGTAAAACACTGTTGCTAATTGGCCGGAGGGGAAGTTTGGGTGACGGCCATGATTCCAAATGAATTAGATATCCAAACGAGAGACAATGAGGACTTGTTGGATTCTCACATAAAGTTGATAGCACCTGGAGCCACGCTCGATAGGAGTAAACTAAGATTTATAAACACAGGAGGCCTGGGTAAGGGGGGCCTGATAAGGGAAGAAGACTTGATTTGTGAACACAAAGGAGACCTTGCGAGGAGGTTGCAACACTGAAGGTCAACATGTGATGTCACACACAGCACATTTGTATTTGTTTTATTTGTTTGAAATTGAAAAGAAAATTGAAATTTTGTCTCATTGAAAAGAATACCATTTATATTAAAAGAACTACAACTCATCTAAGTCTAAGTTACAGTTACATTCAAGAGAACTGAGTGTGAGAGAGAAGGCCCATAAGGGCTCAGTCTGAGGGTTTTTATCTCCCACAATATGTAATGTTCAGCAATGTTGACATTATGTACAAAAACACATCTGATATACACTCATACAAGTGTTTCCCATTTACTCTTCCTATAGTCCAGCCAGTTTTATCTGACTTCGGTTCAGTCCGAAGTCAGTGCACACAGTTTATAAAGAATTTTTCATGTGAAAATCTCTATATTTCTCTATCATCATGGATCCATGCGTAAAACAGGAGCATCAGACTTCATCCAGCCAGAGGGAGTGATCACCGACTGTCTGCAGCGGGCCGGTCGCTCCGTGATCTCCTGTCCCTGTTCCGCCCCAGTAGTACGACCGACGCACTGTGAACAGTTCGTGAACCCTCGTTGCGGGAAAAAAAGGGGAGCTCCCCCGAAAGCTATGGTATAGTTCGCACACTGGTCACCAAACTAGACGCATCTGTTCAGATGCTCAGTCTGAGCTTCGCTAAGCTGTCCTGGGATATTCTTCCACTAGGGGGCACTACACTTGAAAAAAGTTTATACCTCGTAATTCGCTGCATGGATTCGTACAAAATTCGGTCTGTACAGTCTCGGGTCACTACTCAGTTGATGCATAAAATTTGGTAATGATTGCTCAAAGTGGGCGTGGCTTATTACAAGAAATGTAAATTTCTAGACATTTCTCATTTCAAACTTCAAAAAATCTAAGAAAATCACCCGTACATCCTCGAGAGCTGGAAATGTTGCCTCACTGCAACCTATGGTCAATTCAGAAGTCAGTCACTCTATATTTTTCAGAATATGCTAATAAAATTAACATCTATATCTCAAGTCTTTCTTCAAACGCTACCAAAATCAACACAGACAATCTCTAGATGGCCGATTTCAAGTGTTTCAAAGTGTTTTCAGATCGGTCAAACGGTGAGTCTGCAGTGATATTCAGTATCTTGCTCTAACTTGTACAGTATGCACAGCATTTTCTTTTTGCTCAGTGTTGTATACAATGCAACCAAAATAATTGACAACACACCCAAAACCGGCAGAATGATGTGTGATGTTTTTCAGAATTTTCTCACCAACGATTTGACAGTTGTAAGCGTTCTAAGTTTAAACTAACAAAACTATCCAGGTCTGGCAAATGTGACGTCTCTACCTCAATATGTAAGAAGGTGTGTTGAAACAGCCTCTCACCAGTAGCTCAGCTGGTAAGTCATCTACTCTGGAGATCTGGAGTTCCAGGGTTTAAAAGACTTGCTGACAATGGGGTTGTTCAGATCATAGTAAGTCTAAAGTCTCTATTTCATTTGGATCCTGTGATACTTTCTTCCTATTTTGTGCAGCTTAAACTTTAAATCTTGGAAACACAAAATGTCAATGTGGGTTGAACATTTCACCCAGAAGTCAGGTACATAAGATGACACTCTCTGATCTCATGGTAATGTTGTAAAAATCAAGTTTGCATTTCCGCAATAATCTTGTAGCACACCTAAAAATTTTAGTTATGCATTTTAATAAATTTATGAGAATTGATACCCAATTATGAATTAATATTCATAAAATCAGAATTTCCTCGTTAAGGGCACCACCGGAGTTGTTATAATCCTAGAGTCTCAGGACCTCTAGGTAGTTTGAATAATTATACAATTATTACTAGTGATCAGTTAGTTAATAATCGCTCAATTATCTTAAATCAGTCAGTCAGTCTCATATCTAAAGGGTCAATTCTCTTGGCAGGAACTAGAAATAGGCAACACACACAGCTCTTGATTATATTACAGTGAATTTATTCTCTAACTAAAGGTGATAAAAAGATGGTTGGATACAGGGAACATAAACATTTGCTGAACAACGAGCCTGGAGGTTCGATTGTGGGAAGCATTTGACTCATATTGTCGACAGCCTGCTTTTGGCCTGTTGCACGGGTCCCACGCTAGCTGCCGATCCTGGCTTTTTGCTAGGGATTCTCCGGGGTTCTCCGTGTCTGATTGAAAACGCCTCCTCCGATGTCGCGGCACTTCAGGTGTGTAGCTTCAGGCGAACAAAAGGCCTGTCTCGCTGGCCGAGTCTGGGCGTTGCCTGGCGAGGCGCGCCGACGCGTGCCGAAGCGTCCAGCGAGCAGAGCAGAGTGGAAGAGCCAACAGCGAAGAGAAGAGCGAGAGGTCGCGTGTCGCTCTTTTGTTGCCTGGGGCGCGTCCCAGGGGGCGTCTCAGGTTTCCCATGGGACTGCCATTCTAAACTTAAGGTATAAAAAGAAAAGAAATCTATTTGCACGTATTATAATCAAATATTTTCCACAATCGAACCTCAATGGTCGAACGGTTGTACTGTTCTAAGCATTTGGTAACAGGAAACAATTGTCACATTATTGGTCAGGATATTTATACATTTAACGGCATTTCCGACGAGGGCATGTAATACTTATTTCGCCCACTTGGGGGAGCTCAGGTTACATGAGGAAAGCTTGGATTAAATCAAAGATCGTCTCTCTTTAGGAACTGGGAATATTGTTGATTCATCCTTAAATTCAAGCTGGCGATTAAGAGTATAGTAAAACATTCCTTTGTCATCATTTCTAAAGAAATTTTGTAGGAAAGTATTATGAACAAGCATTGATTACATCAGATGAAGGAGTGTCTTGCTGAAAATAAAAACATTGCACAAGTAACTTTCTTTTCAGCACTAATATCAACAACAGACAGCAACAACAGTTAACATAACTACTCAAATAGAGGCAAATAGAGGGAAATGCCAATGGCTGGTTCCTGTCCCTTTGTCAGTTTAACAGTCAGCTTCGGAATCAAAAAGGTGCCAGTTTTATGGTCGGGCTAGCACTTAGAGAAAGCAACTTTGACCCCTCCCCATCTTCTCTGGGTAGGAGAAAGGAATTTAGGGTAGCTCCAAATTTATTCAATGTAAAATGCACAAATCCACACCGTTGTTCACTACAATCTCAACGTCCAAATTCTTTCATAAACTTTAATCTCTCAAGTCGTCTTCGGCTGTTCTTCTCCTCTGAAAATGTCAAATGTTGCATTTACTTGGATCCCGATCATTGGCGCTCGCGGCTATATTTTAAAATGAGACTGTGACTTCTAGCAGAGATTTTTCTTTGACAATCACTTGTACTTGAGTATGAGTTGTGTACTCCATGGCCTCCAGGGAGTCAGTAAAATGCACACTGATCAGTACACTGATCCACTTGCAGTGGTGCACTTATCCACGGCACTTACTCCACTGCGTTATGGTTTAAGGGAATATTACAGTAGGTACACATATGTAAGAGGACTGTATGGATTGTGTACTGGTGAGGTGTGTCTGACTGTTGCCGACCGACTGTAGTGGGCCACCTGGGCAAAAAGTACCAGGGCCAATTTTTTGTCCCAGTCCAGCCCTGAGCAGGAATACTGTTTACCACGTCCAACATCTTAGTTCAGTGTTAGTACGCTTACACTGTATAATTATTGCTAAACATAAACTGCAGTTGAGGCTGATGGGATTGTTTAGGGATTAGTTTGCAGGTATTTTGCAAAGTACTGAAATTGATCTTATGTTGGTGATAGCAAAATGATCACCAAAGTTATTACAATTCATCCTGAGAGAAACAAATGTTTATACCGAATGACAATCTATCCAATAGCTGTTGAGATGTTTCACTCAAAACTACAAATGTCAACATCATGATGGCGCTAGAGGAAATGTCAGTAACACAACACTGTATTCTGTTACTTAAAGATTTCAACTCCATATTTAAAGCACTACCAGTATGTACCAGTAAAGATGAGAGAATGTGAAAATTGGAGTTCTGAAACTTTATTTCAGACTGGCACAAAAGCAAAGTTCCTTATGCTTAACACAATTCACAAAGACACACAGCTTGTCTTGACTTTGGAGACATTCCAACAGGTAATATTCTCTTTACAGGTATCTGTCATTGTAGACAGATTAGTCACATTTTATGTTTGAATATATAGAGCACTCACTCACTCCACCACTGTTTTAGTGTTTGAGCAGCACTGTTAATTTTCAAGAACATTCTCCAGTCCTAAATTCACTGTACATTGTCCTATTACACCTTCCACCAATGTTCAAGTAAGTCCTGAACTTCACATGCTTCGGGTCCCCCTGTGGCTCAGACATGGTATGTTCTACAGACATCAGCTGTCACTCTCTGGGCGTACCAAGGAGAACCTTCCGGAAGGGTCTGGGATAAACCACTTCTCCCAAAGATCCAAATGAACAGCAGGGTAATTCCACGGTTTAAATGGGCCGTTCCAGTGCAGCAGGTGCGCCTCTTGTAGGAAGCTCTCTAAATACCGGGCATCTGGACTCCAGCCTGGGCACAAAGGAAAGCTATTTTGTAGCTCTACAATATTTTAGGTTTCTTTATGTCTGCAGAATTCACATCACTTGCCATTACCATAAGTGAAATGCATCATTAGTTACTTCTCTATTTTTAATTTGTTAACTACCATTTTAATTTAATTAACCTTGTTTATAATGTATCATTGTTAGTTTACTACTGACACTGGCATGTTGTATGTAGCATAAGTGTCTGCATAGGGGGTTGATCTGTAATAAGCTCTGCTAACTTTATTTTTATTGGAGCCAAAAGTGATGGTATGTGCCTCAGTTATGCCACACCACAAGAGAGAGTGTACTTGTGTATTGTTTCTCCGTTATGGCATTTTACAGGCCCACTTAAGGGACAGCAGTTTAGGTATGTTTTCAGTTTGGTAATTAAACATAAACTTTCGATAAAATAACACCACAAATCTAATTATGTACATTTACAAAGCCAACATCTAATGTATGTCTTTATTTCACAAAATTATGAAATTGTTTTGTTTGTTTAACATTATAATGACCTAATTGTCATTCTAGACAGTATTATGCCATTTAGGAACTAATACTGAAATGATTCTGCATGGAGTGGAGGAGTGATGATCTTACCCAGGTGTCTTACGTGCCACAGTGGGTCCAGTGTTGTGTATTTGTCATGAAACACTATTAGCATGGGTGGAGTCGCAACGCCTCCCGCCATGGCACTGCTGTAAATGTTCTGTCTGGTGGAGAGGAGGAAGACAGTTTCTGATCATGCAGATGCTTTCAATGCTCCATAATTATGCTAAAAAAATATACATACAAAAATGCATATTTATGTTACAGCTGCATACATGAAATGCGGTTCAAAGTGCAATAAGATGAGATACAATAATTTAAATAATATAAATAACATTACAATAAATTAATGAAAGAAGTAAATGGTACATGCTAAAAAGAAAAATATAAAGTGGTGCAAATAGGCTGGGTTGGAGTAGACTTTTATCAAGTTTCCTTTTGGGTGTATTGTGATCATATCACAAGCCAACAAAAAGAACCTGAAAGCAAGTGGACATCCAGAAAATCTGTAGTACAGGCCACTAATACATGACAGGGCCTCCTGTACAATTCAATCAATTAACATATACATAAAATCTACGTGAAGCTAAACGGTTTGTTATGGTCTTTAAAAATAGGCGACACTGATGTTAGATTCTTGTTGGTTACACTGGACTCCAATGTTAACACGTAAAACAAAGTCATGTTTGTGAGTATATGTACATCTCTTTTAGCTAAAGTTAAAGTAAAACCATTTAAATCTTTGTTTGGTTGAAATTAATAATATGTTATTTAAGAGCAGACAAACACAAAGTCAGGAAGCATAAGCCACTACAGATTTGTGTATGAACAGAAATGTATAACCATGTAGCATCAGCATAGCTGTTAAGGTTAACAAAATGTTAAAATGTCGGATGAAATAACCACTAGGGAAGCATGTATTTAAAAAGCAGGGGAGAAGAATGTAAAATCTTCTGACACATAATCTCTAAGATTAAAGTAGATAATCCCCCCTTTTTCTGATTTGAATTGTCTGGAATCTGGAGAAGGTCACTGGTCACTGTACGTACCTGAAGTTCTCCTCCATCCATTTCTCCAGCTGTTTGGTGATCTTCTGTGTCTTCCATTCGCTCATATCGGCCACAAACACTCCAGGGTTGAAAGAGCAGTCTCTGGGGTGGATGCCCAGATCTTTAACTTCCTGTTTCCTAAAGTCCAGGAAGCCCATGTAGGTTGTCTACGGGAAGAGCTCAGAGGAGAGGACGCCATATTTCAATTACCAAATCAGTCTTTTCAAAGGTTATCAAAATTCACCTGAGAAAATTACTCTTCAGGAATTTTACATTCAGTATCAATTCCTATAATGCTCTAAAGTGTTTACAGCTAATTTAATTTAATTATAATATACAAAAGCAAAATGTGCTGTACACTTTTATTTACTGACGCTAACAAAAAGCGAATCAATCGACATTTATTTTCCATTAGTTTCCATTAGATCCATTACTCCAGGTTAGATTTTTCAGACAAATGCAGTGCACACCTGTTTCTACTTTCCCTCATCAACCCTGCTATATTAAAGCCCATTTCCACTCACTCCTTGCCAGATCGTCAAAGTTGTTATTGTTGTTTCATGCCTTTGCTTATGGACAACGTGTACCTGCAACTAACCAACAACCTTTAAGGTTCAGTGTTTAAGATTTAGTGGCATGTGGTGGTGAGGTTGAGGTGTAGTGCTGTTTGTCCTTTTTGAGCTACTGTAGAGGTCAATGGAAGGGGGGACCCGCGGTGTATGTAGAAATGGCTCATTCTAAGATAATAAAAACATGACGGTTCATTATGTACGGTCTTAATACACCATTGAAAACATAGCTATGGATCTTATATTGCATTTCTTCAGTCAGTAGATCCTCAGAGATATTACACACTGGACCTTTAACTCTCTCCCTCCCTCTCTCTCTCTCCCTCTCTCTCCTTCACCCCAACCGGTCGAGGCAGATGGCCGCCCACCCTGAGTCATGGTTCTGCTCGAGGTTTCTGCCTCTTAAAAGGAAGTTTTTCCTTGTCTCTGTCTCCTAGTGCTGCTCTTGGTGGGAACTGTTGGGCTTCTGTAAATATCATCACAGAGTACGGTCTAGACCTGCTCTTTTATGAAAAGCGCTCTGACAACTGTTGTTGTGATTTGGCGCTATATAAATAAAATTCATTTGAATTGAATTGAATTAACCCTAGAACTTGTACCTATACCTCCCTGCCTGCCTGCAAGTTTCTGTATGTTCACTTTTGTCGATAAATCTCTGAACTCTTCCTGCTTGCCTGGACTGTCTGGCGTTTTAGTCCTTCAGCCTTTGTTGCTGGAAATCACCGGCCATTATAAAAATACATAGAAATCCACCTGCATGCCGATGCTGCGGACCATCTCATGTGTGGAGGGCAGGTCGCAGTCAGTGGCGAAAGCAGCAGCATGACCCGGCTTCAGTTTGATATTAAACAGATCCTTGATGTCGCCTAAAAAGCATGAAAAGCATTTAAGTGGTACAGTATATACATAGATATACATAATTAATACAAAATCAATGTATCAAAAAAACAACAACCTTGAAACAGTGTGTGAATTTGATGTTAATGAATGTGGATGAGAGCTTAGTGGCTTAGAGGTGGAGTGAGTCGCTCACTAATCAGACCATTTACCATAACCATTTGGATGTTTGTGATGACCATTATAATGTTTATCCTTAAAAAAAAGCATGTATTCATAGCTTAAGTTACCACCAAATGTAATTTAAACTTGTTTTAAAAAATATTCTGCATGGTGATCTGGTGATCAAATCCAACTGTAGCACCACACGTCTGTTAAGTTTGGGGTTAATCATTGAAAAAGGCAGTTTTATCAATTAACAAACCTTAAATTTAATCTTTAGGATACACAGTATGGAATATATTTTCACAGGGATTCCTTCCTACCTTGATCATATACATACCCTGCACAATGACATCATCATCTAAGTATATCACCCTCTTATGGTTGATTTCGAGCAGAGGTATGTAAAAGCGCACGAAGTTGAGCTGCAAAACAAAAGCAAAGTTATTTCAGAGTTATACATTTAGATTGTGAGGTAGCACACAGCGTCTGTGCATGTAAGGTTTGTATCGATACGGGAACAAAGGCAAACCAGAACTCACTGGATGTAAGAGCTCAGGTCGAGAGGAATCTGGCTTCACCTTTCCTTTCAGAACCATGGGGTTAAATTCCAAAATCTTATATTTGATGCCTTTCAGTTTAGTCTTCTCTATGTACTGCCTGGGAAGATGCAAAGAACGGATGATTAGGCAAATAAACGTGGAAGTCATCGTAATAAGCAATAATACTGGGATGTCAGGTCGCCCAACCAAACCCCAGCCACATATCTTCTCCACATGTGGAACAACTACAGATTCAGTACATTTACGGTATAAGAGTACAAATCACTTCTTGCACCTTTAAAGATTAATGTTTAAAGTGGCACACCTTGTTAGTTTCACGGCATCCCGAAGGGTAACTATATAGAAAAACACACTGGCGTCTGTGTTGCTATAGACGCTGTTGATGGTTGCCATGGTCGCACCCATTCGCTCCTCCGATGCACAGATGATAATGGGGACGACATTATCCGCCTCTGACACTCTCACTGCAGGAACTCGCGCTGCTCTTCCGAGGCTCTTCCGGTGATCTAAGAGGTCATTAGGGAGGGGAGGTCGAGATTGCTTTGTGCCATTTCGGATGGTGTGGCATAAAAAAAAACATGCGTCCACTGCCATGACTGTCAAACAACTGCGTGCTTTAAGATGACCGTGGATCAAAGTCGAGAAGGCTGGCATTGTTCTTTTTTTTTTCTTATTGTCAACAAATCTCATGAAAAGACCCAAACCAACAATGTCTAAGTCCATTTCTTAATATTTTCTGACTGCCCTGCTGTATCTGTGGTTCTCTGTCTCAAGCCAATAAGTCAGTACTAAACACTTAACTAAAAACACCTCACAAATACATAGATTCATCTTTAAAAGAAAGCACAGCTGAGCACTTTAAGTTTTAGCGAACGTTTCTCAAAGAAGAGTAAATTGTAGTAAATGCATTTGTGGGGAACTATTTTTAGCGGTGGATTAATCCACATTTAGTGGTCTTGTTAGTAATAAGGGTAGCAGGATGGTGCATGTGAGACTAAATAAACTACAGTGTGTGCATTAATGGTAATATGAATGAGAAGGATGGACGGAAGGAAGAAAAGTGTGGCTGACTGGTGTGTTTTTACTAGTTTTTGAACAACAGTGGAGCTCTATGGCCGAAAAGAAGAAGATATACCCGATGTTGGAGCTACACACGCATTACTTGTGAGCAGGATCGATTCAATGTTGGTTTGGGTCTTTTCATTGGTTTTGTTGACAATAAGCAAAATAGAAAACATTGCCAGATTTACTCTTTAATGTGATGACATGATTAAATTTGCTCTATAAAGGTTTAAAGGTATAAAGGCTTACCTGAGAGTTTGGGCCGAGTGGAGACTCTGAGCAGTATACTGTGCAGGAGGAGACACACCATCAGCACCAGCAGCACCAGCAAGACTTGGTTAACTGAAACGCAGGAAGAGGCAGGAGTCGGCGTCTACTCGTCTTACTCTGTTTACCATGTTTCCAAAGAATATACCCCACAAAACATCAGAGGGCCACACATAATAATAGATTTTATTATGGATTCATCTCTTTTTTTCAATAGTTTTATCTAGAGAATGTTGCATAAAAATGAAATTGCCCATCACAGGGGCACACAGCCCTAAGTCACATCTTCATATTGCTTGTTTTGTCTGACCAACAGTCCTAAACCCACAGACATTCAATTTACAACGATCTTAAACAGAGAAAAGCAGCAAATGCTCACTTTTTAGCATCTGGAACCAGAGACTGTTTTGCATTACTGCAGGTTAAATGGCTTTAAGGGCTATTTGACATTTTGTGGAAAAATCCTTTTTTGCTTTCTTTAAACTGTTTGTCGAGTAATGTCACGTAACTCCACGGAAATCAAATAAATTGTTCTTCTATTCGAGTACAAATAAAATAAATGATTATATGTTTATGAGCGATTTTACATGTTCTGATAGGTGTATTGTTTTTACTTAACAAACAACCACGAGACTGTTTTCGATCTTCTCAAACTCACAGCAAGAAAACTAATATGTCAAATTATTCACTTAAAGAGGTCATATTATGCTTTTTGCCTTTTCCCCTCTCCTTTATTGAGTTATATCTCTTTTTTGTGCATGATATAGGTTTGCAAAGTGAAAAAGCCCAAAGTCCACCCCATCTCCCACAGAAAACTGCTCTGAACTGCCTGAAAACAGCTCGTTTGTAGACAGAATCACGCGTCATAATGCTCGCCTAGCGGCTAGTCCGACACGCCCTCAAAAACAGCAGTGAGCTGCAGCACACAGCTCTCCTCTCCCTTCCAAACACTAGCTACCCTCCAGGCAGTCAGGTGACATAAAGTTGTTACTGTGATGTAGAGACAGAGCTCGGTTAAAACTTTATGGATGAAAGATAGTTGATAGTAGATGAAAGAAAGTCACAGATTTAGGGCCTGTGTCCACCAAAGCGTTTTTTGCCAGCTGAAAATGCCAGCTGCTCTTCTGAAAACGCCCAGCAGGGAGCGCTGACAGGCGTTTTTGAGGCACAGCGTTTTTTCCGACTGTTCTACCCAACTTTACTGTATGTAAAATGTCAACACAGAGTAGAGTACTTGCTCTGGCTCTGTATGAAGAGAAGGCTGAAGCAGGTAGAGAGAGAGGACGGACTCGCCGTATGTGGGTTCATGAGATTTAGTGGGCGAGGAAACATCTCAGCGAGTACCCCCGTTTAGTCCAAGAGCTGAGGTTCAACGAAGTCCAGTTCCAGGATAGTAACCGTTGCTACGGTGTGGTGTTTGTCCTCCTCTACTGTGATTGGACAGCTGACTAAAAAGTGAAAGTGACGAGCGCAGCGTTTTTCCCAAAGTTGAACATTTTTCAACTCTCGGCGACCGAAAAAAAACCTCTCAGCTCTCAGTGCATTCCCATTGGAATGAATTGAAAAAAGACGCTGGCGTCAGAAGAAAACGCTTTGTTGGACACGGGCCCTGAGAATTCCCCACTCTGAAACTCTTGCTCCAGTCCGTGTTGCTAAGCTGGTAAGGGGATATACAGCTGAACTGAAGCCATGTTTACCAGCTTTTCAGGGCCCGCCCTACTCTGCTTTTGATAGGCTAGTAATCTTGTAGAGGTGAGATGTATCACTCCATAGCTAAAACGAAGCATTCAACACACAGGGTGAAAAGAAGAGCTGCAGCAATGTGCAGTGTGACAAAAATATTGTGTTTTTTGAAAATTAAACCATGTAAAGCTGTTCTGGTACAACCCCTAAATAAGGTTTTGAATCTGAAAATGAGCATAATGTGACCTCTTTAATGAACTTTAAAGTTATTACCAAAATTGTTGTTTATAATTTTACAAAATTGTAGTTAATCATTTTCATTTGTTCTAGCGCTAACCATCAGAATAAAAAGCTGTGCACATTGAGCTGAAGTTTTACTGTAATGTTGTTATCTCATACCAGTAGAAACACACATTGTGTTTGACTCGTTCCACTCGTTCAGTCAGGCAGACCAGAGAGGAGGAAGGAGGATCAAAATACCCATCTGCAACCATTTACAAGACACTTTCATCATCATTTCTGGCAGCTCATTCATGAGCCATAACTTATTCTGCACAATATGCTACCTGAGGAGCAGCTTTACACTGAAACATTCAGAACTTACTGTTTTCAGATATTTTAAACTGAACAAAATTATAAATGCAACACTTTTGTTTTTGCCCCCATTCATCATGAGCTGAACTCAAAGATCAAAGACTTTCTCCATGTACACAAAAGGCCTATTTCTCTCTAATATTGTTCACAAATCTGTCAAAATCTGTGTCAGTGAGCACTTCACTCACAGGTGTGGCATATCAAGATGCTGATCAGACAGCATGGGGATTGCACAGGTGTGCCACACAGCTCTGTAGCGCTGTTTGTTCATGTTGGCTATGGTAGAAACATGACGACAAAATACGGCAAACTCCATAGAAGGGGGTGTCTGCGGTTTTGTAGATATAAATGTCTCATTCTAAGGTAATAAAAACATAACGGTTCATTATGTAAGGTCTTTATACACCACTGAAAACATAGTTATGGATTTTAGATTGCATTTCTGTCAATAGATCCTCAGAGATATTACACACTGAACCTTTAAAACATTAATCTACACGGTTTTAACTTGAAAACAGCAGCAGTTGTTACAGTTTTTGTATTAACACATTTAAAGCATGCTTACATTTTTGTATAGTAAAGTTTTGTTTTGGAATTTGCAAACACCTCTCAAAGTATCTTGCAATTCACTCTGCTGTTTTCACACACGATAGAATCATAACATTTACTCCTTTACAGCCCGTCATCTGGTTACCCCATCATACCCTCCCTCAGAAACACACCCACATTGGGTGCATGCGCATGCAGATGTTCCCATCCCTGGTGAGAAATGTGGGGGTTCCTTTACTGGCAATTGCTGCTCCAGCTATAGCAAGCCTATTGTCGATAGGAGTGTTAAACCACAAGCTGTTTGTGACACTGCCCATCAACAGGAACACAAGACAATCACTGAAATTTCTACTTTGTTTCATGTAAATGCATATAACCAGAGCATAAATCAGTCATATTACATTTGTCTTACATTTTTTTTTCACTTACTTTTTCTCAGAAGAGCCATATTTCATGTTTGCTTCCAGCAACACCTGCAAACACACACACACACACACACACACACACACACACAGAAGGAGAAATAGAGGGCTATCAAGTCACTCATGAGAAGTTGTAGAGAAACAAAGGATGAAAGATCCCTTGGCCTTAATGTTGTATGGAGGGTTGGGGGATTTGGCCGTTTCCTCAGTGAAGTATTAACACAGCTGAAAGTGAGTTTGATATTTATTAAGATGACAGGCCTCATCTGTTTTTGCAGGAAAAAACTTTCACGAAACACGGGTCAGGGTAAACATGGCTAAAGAATCAGGTTTTTCCTGGAGAGATCTAACTGGGTCAGCCAGGTTTTTCTTAGCCCCTTAACCTGAAAAGTGACATCATTACAGTGAATGCCTGAAATCATCAGATGACTGTGAATGTTGCAAATGTTGTACCTCTTGGCTGTGAGTGGTTTGAAGGTACAGTCGTACAACTTGAGCACTCATAAGATCCCGTGGAGCTTTAACTTAACGGCCACATAGAACATGTTTATACTCCAAGTGTCAAAATGGGAAACCTGCAAAAGTTCTAAATCAAACGCTTCCAATGCTGTGTTTTGAAGATAAAGACAGGATGTTTGAAGTTCTCCTTCTGATCTAAACCTCCAACAGTTTTCTGTAGCAGTGTGACTGAGAGAAATACATTTTGTGACATATAATTTTGCATAATATGACCAGACCAGCAGTAAACTCACTGAGGCTCGAATGCCAAGAGACACTGGACAACACGTGGCTGTATTTTGTTCAAAACCTTCCACCACTTCCTTCCTTCCTGGTGCCAGGGATTCATCAAGGGATCTGTTTGCCTCCCAGCCTTTTAAACTTTTATATAACTGCAAGAGAAATGCTTACACAATGAATGAGTAAACGCATATCTCAACAGTCTCACAGCTTCAAAATATTTAGCTCCTCTGAGAATCAGTGTGTTTCACTGACCTCATTGTGTGTGCAATCAGTGTAAAGTGGTGGAACCTCAGCAGGAAGCAGCGCACTTTAAGTTGCTCATAAGTTAAACGTATCACACTTACGGTGGCCTGTCTGCTTTTCATGTTTCACGCTTCCTCTGAAACCTGCAGACTCTAACTGAACCTCAGCAGGCGGATGACATGAAACAGAACATTCAGTCTGTGTCGTGCATTTGTTTCAGGTTTGTTTGTCCCTGTTAGAGCAGCCCTAAACATCTGGAGCTGATTAGCTTAAGATACACTCCTTCCACGAGGCAGGACTGCCTAACACGCTGTCTCTGGCCTGCATTTGAACAATCAGCAATCCACTCACTCCAAATTACAACGTGTTCTCCAATCTCAATGCATTCATAATCACATTGTCAATGTTTTTTGCAGAATTATACCACCAGATTTGAACTCACATGATTTTATGGCAGCAGAATTTGTCAAATATTTTTTACTAATGTTTAAAAAACATTTTAAAACAGATTTTTTTAGGATGGCATTTTTATAATGTCTCAACACCTCGCTCTCACATCTCTCCATACACTAATGTGTCCACATGTTTATGTGCATATGTGTGGTGAAGCATGTGTACAAGGTTTTGCCACTTTACCATTTTACAATTATATTTGTTAGTGACTGCTTGAGCTGCTCTGTTTTAATAGTTATTTTATTACTTTTGCTTGTCTTACTCTCTGTCTTATATGGCTTCTTTAAGACATCACCGAGGAACTACATGACTATATATTGATTATGTAGCAACTATAGTTACTGGCTAGGAAAAAACGAACAGAAGTTCCAAAGAGTTTGCACATAACTGTGTGTGTGTGTGTGTGTGTGTGTGTGTGTGTGTGTGTGTGTGTGTGTGGATGGGGGTTGTTGGTCCACACCAAACCACAAAAGTCATCACACTGCAAAAAATTCCAAACCGGGATAGAGTTGCTACCTTTTTCAGGACTACATTTCAGTACAATAGAAAAGGTCTGTAAAATTTCACTAATTTGCAAGGGAGTTCAGTTGTTTTAGGGATTTTTTTAGGGAATAAATAAGCTAAAGGTAGGCAAATCACTTCCCTTATGGGCTATGGTATTAAAAGACAACCAAACAAACATGACCCTTAATTCCACACAAGTATTGAATGGCATTGAAGCGGCATATAACTCTGTCATGCATCATGCGTACAGATTTCCACTTATTCTTAAGGATAAATGTTAAAAAGACTCATTTTAGTCTACAGCCTAAAGATCTACATTTTTTTCAGTGTACCAGTACAAAAAGTTCCCTTGTCTAGCAATAAAACAGGGTTGCTTATAAAGCACAAAATACAAGATTCATACAGTATTTCACAAAATATAATAGACATATAGAAGCAAAACTCATAAAGTATGCACTTTAGAAAACAGAGATAAAGTAAGGAGGCCTGTCCCTGTTGGGTTTATATGTCTCAGTCATCACAGTGTAGCACAATTTAAAGCACATTTAAAACGTCAGAAACGTATGTACTCACAAGAGAACGAGGGTGGCGTTGTTTATGGTCAACCTCAGTCCTGGTGTTCATGGTCCATGTTGTAAAACCTCTGAGGACTGAGACTCACCCTCACCAACAATCTCACTTTTCTCCTCTCCCACCTCCTTTTCTCTTTCTTCTCTCCAGATGTGAGTCATCTTGCTCACCAGCGCTCTGATGCCTCACTGTCCTTCAGCCAGCAATAGATTAGCTCACCCCATTTCTCATATTCATATCTGTGATACTAAAAAAAAGTAAAAAGTAAAAAAAAAAAAGGCTTTGAAAGCAGTAATTTACGGAGCCCGGGAGGTCTGAAATGTTTTTTGAGAATAACACGGACCACACTCTGTTGGCTGCGAAATATAATTAAAGGGTATTTATTATGCCAGTAGGCTACTGGCCAAATTACTTAGGAGTTACAAAGTTATAATGAAAACAGTTCTGGGGTCGAGCCAAATCGCACGTCATCTTAAAAACTACATTTCCCATAATGGCCGGGGTGTCGCTCTGCTGGAAAGGACGACTAAAGTTTATCCCTTAAACTACAGAGTGGGTCGTCATATTTGTCAGGTGTGTCATGTGAGTTAGGCTGGTGGATGTATCTGATGTTGATCTACAAATGATTTTCTGCTCATTAATAATGTTTGAATTGATCAAAATCAATGATCAAATACGTACATTTTTACGTGTGTTTATCTTGATTTTTCCACCTAGAGCACATTGTAACTTTGAGGGTTGCTATGTAAAACATTTTGATTTGCAATTCATACGTGCCGTGCTTATATATTTAAAATTGCAACAAACAACAATCTAGTAACATTTATTAAAGTTATTAAGCCTTGAAGACGGAAATATGCCACAAATGTTTTCTTTTTGTTTTTATTTTTATAATCGGTTTTCTATGTAAAATGCGTACCTGTGAATATTCCAAACAACATCATATTTATTATATTATCTAGTAATTGTAAGAATAATAACGTTTGTTTGTACATTTTTGTATTGCTTTATGTATGGGAAGATAAGTAATATAACATTAACAGTGTAAGGTTATGGTTGGCCACTTAATTCCGCTACTCTGCGTAGTAAACACTTCTCTCCAGCAAGTCTTCAAGCAGTTGAACTTAGAACTGAGTTAAAGTAGTTTTTCATTTTTGCCCCTAGGTTATTTTGTGTTCATGCAGCAGTCTTTCACCTCCACCCAGCATGGAGGAGAACACTTTAAAGCTGCTGGTGAAGCTCACTCAGGAGGGACAGTTAAGCTCTCTGGAGGAACGGATATCCTCGGGCGGCTCGGCGGCGGTACAAACCGTCCGGAGCAAACACTTCGGTCGGTCAGGAGACACCCTGCTGCACTACGCGGCCCGGCAGGGACACCTGGACATTGTGCGGTATCTAATAAAGCGGGTAGGCATGGATGTGGAGACGTACAATAACGACTACAAGAGGCCGCTGCACGAAGCTGCGTCCATGAGCCACCTGGCATGTGTCAGCTACCTGCTGCAGGAGGGAGCCAAGGTGGACAGTCTGAAGAAGGCGGACTGGTGAGCATGAGTACAGAAAGCTGCTCGGAATGAGTTCGGAAGAAATAAAAAAACAAACAAAAAAAACAACCAACAACGTGACAACCCTATGATGGAGACATGTGGTGCCCCCTGTTGATTTTAAAAAGCAACTGTCACGCTAAGGATGCTAGCTCCCTTCGATAGCTCAGTTGGTAGAGCGGAGGACTGTAGAGGCTTGATGCTGAAATCCTTAGGTCGCTGGTTCGAATCCGGCTCGAAGGAGCACCGTTTTGATTGCAAATCGTTTATTTCACGAAACTTTTGTTCAAGAGTCAAACATTTGAAGAAAACAAAGAAATAAAGAAGAACACCAATCTGTCGCAGCCCAGTTTGTTGTTATATTTGACTCACAGAGCCAAACGTCTGTCGTTGTTGTTATTGTTTTTATTGTTATTGTTTTTTTGCTTGACGATGGTGACCATCTTTCAGAAACCCAAACGGTCTGTTTAAAACATAGGTTTAAAAGGGATTTCCAGAAGCGTCAAACACAGCTGCCCATCTAAATCTAAAAGTATTCCCTTGCCTGGATCAAGATACAATGCCTTAACCAAATAAAGTTAGATGATTATATACAAAAAATATATGCATTACATATACATTAATGTTGTTTTCTATTCTTTTGTATGTGTAATGTATTTATAATGTAGTTTAATCTTTATACATGAGGGACACAAGCAGTGTCTAATCTCTCATTATTAGAGCTAACACAGAATTTAATGATTTCATAATTTCAAAACTGAAGGAAAATGTCACAACTAATTTTACAGTTTATTGGACGATGTCTATTCTAAGTTTAACTAAAGATTTGATCATTTACTGTGGAATGTTTAACACTTATATTTTCTGATCCATCCCACTGTGTGTTAGCTTGGAAGCTGGTGATGGGACTGCCACTTTATTTACATTTCACTTGGTTAGAGTAGTTTGTCAGTGTTGCCTTCTCTCTCTCTCTCTCAGGACTCCACTGATGATGGCCTGCACTCGGAGAAACCTCAACGTGATCCAGGAGCTGCTGCACCATGGCGCTGACCCTGCACTGAGAAACAAGGACGGCTGGAACTCGTTCCACATCGCCTGCAGGGAGGGCGATCCTCTGGTCGTACAGCACCTGCTCCTCGTCACGCCGGACGTCTGGAGGACGGAGAGCAAGACGCGCAGGACACCACTGCACACTGCAGGTAAAGCGTCCTTAGATTGCTGGTTCTAGTGTATGGATATGTCATGTGATGGCAACATCTGGCACACACACTCAACAATTTCCAGAATCGTTAATCTCTTAGATATTCTGTTGTGGCCAGATCTCCAAGTGCGTGTTCGGTGAAAAAAAAAACAATCTTTTTACCCTGTTTTGTGAGGGACCTTTTGCGTTCATTGTCAGATTATAACTAAGTTTCTCTCTCTCTCCCATCATTCAGCAATGCACGGCTGTGAGGAGATTGTTAGGATCTTGCTGGAGAGGTAGGTTGAAATTTTCTTTGGGGAATACTTCCTTAAAAAAAATGTGTGAAATGTTTCAGTTTTGGTGTGTGTATCCCCAGAACTTTTTCTCAGAATTTCCAGCTCAAAATGCCGTAAAATGATAAATAAAGACCAACACTTACGAACATAAGATTGTTGGCTCGATCCCTAGTTTGGCAGGATGAATCTGGGTGGCGGAGAGTGAACTGGCAGCACGTACTCCTCACTCATAACCACTGCAGAAGTGCCCTTGAGCAAGGCCCTTGACCCCTAACTGCATCAGTGGAGCTGCTGAGTGTCCACCTGATCAGATGGCAGCTTACAGGTGTTATCCTGAATAAATGAAACCTGCAACCTTTCTTTGGCCACATGGGGGCAGCAGAAACAAGCTATAAACACAGTGACACCTCTTAAGTTGAAATGACCAATTTGTGAGCAGATGATTTTGCTCTCCACTGTCCAGCTCTTTAGCTGCTAAATACTCCACTGTGTTCACCAGCTAGCTGCTAACTTTAATATAATATTAAAATAGAGCGCGCAAACACAATCTATGTTTGACAAACAATAACAGTACACGGTCCACTTACTTAAAATTTGGAGCTTTCAGCTGCATTTGAAAAATTCAATTCAAACCAGCTTTATTGGCATTCATGTATAAAAACAGTATGCCAAAGCTACATATAAATTAAATAACAATTCATTTCATACATTTCATTAAATAAGTAAATAAAACAGTAAAAGTTGTTTGTGTGTGGGTTAATAAAAATAAAATACTACTACTAATAATAAATATATACAATATAAAAATTAATTCCATAAATATAAATATATATATTAAAATAAAATAAAAAATAAAACTGTAAACTTGTGCGTGTATATTAAAAGACAAAAAATAAAATAAAAATTTATTAATAAAAAAATAACAAACAAATAACTAAAACAATCAGTATCAAATGTGAAATTTAAAAACAAAACAATTACTAAAGTATAAAAAAAATGCACGTAAAATAAAGTGAGGTAAAGTAAACACAAGTAAACCTTGTGGAAGGTCAGTAATCAACCTTTAAGGTCATTAATCTGTGTCCTATAGTGTATATATGACTGCAGAGGTTACATTCCTGTTTGTAGATTGCCATTGAAAATGTCTAGTACTCTGTTTTGGGGGGAAATATAGCTCCATACTTTTGAGCTTGATTATGATTTGCAGTTCACAGATAACTGACCACTTCTTCTTCTTCTTCTTCCAGATGTGGCTACACCCCAGACTGCGCTGACAGTTGTGGAGTCACTCCTTTCATGGACGCCGTCAGGAACGGACACCTTTCTGTGGCAAGGCTGCTTTTAGAAAAGCACCAGGTACACAAAGCATTTCAAGTCAGTCATGTCTCCGCTTTTGTAGAAACAGTACTGCACTGTCATGTCCTGACTTGTGTGTACTGTAGGCGTCTCCACAAGCAACGGACATGCTTGGGACTCAGCCGGTGCACCAGGTTGCTGTTACTGGCCAGGAGGAGGCGCTGTGGTTCCTGGTGCGGGACCTAAATGTAGACGTGAACCAGAAGGCGACAGACATGCAGCTCACTGCTCTGCATTACGCTGCAAAGGTTAGATCACAGATTTTTGACAAGATTCCATCTTTTCTGTTCCTAAGCCCTCAAAGGTTAGTCATTTCTCTTAGATTAAATGAAGTAGTGAAATCATTATAACTTGTTAAAATCTATTGTATTACATCCTAAATTGAGTGGTATTATTAAGTATTCACAATAGATAATGCTAACAACAACTAGGATGGTTTGTATTGGCCTCTTGTTTAGATATACATACTTACAATGCTGTTTCACTTCTTTATTCAGTCTGACGTCTTGTTTGAGTCATTCTCTGTTTGGAAGCGGTTGTTTTTTTTGTGCTGATCTAACTGTAGTGAGCGATGTATCCTGTTGGCATTATTTTCAGTCGACAGGGAAGCTGCGGTAGTACAGTAGCCAGTCTGTCGCCATCATTCTGGCTCTGGCACAGGAAGATAACGACCCCATTCTCAATCCTCCCTCTAAAGCTCTGAATGTCTCGGCTGTTTTCGAACCAGGGAAACAGCCATCAAGAAACACCAGACCTTTTTATTGCTGAAAAAAATCAGAGATGTGGGCAATTCAGATTTTAACTCTGGCTCATGATTATAGTTGAACTGTTACTGAGTATTAGGATCACACAGAAGAACAGCCAGTCCCACAAC